CATAACATGCTGAAATAAAAAAAAAAAAAGTAGCTGGAAGGCACATCCTATGATGGAAATGGAATTGTTGTCATGTAGACTGTTGACAATGAATTTTGGGATTGGGACAGACACAAGGAAGATATCTAACAAGGACAAGTTCTCCAGGAAGAAGTACATGGGTGTTTTGAGTTGCAGGTCTAGGGTAATAAGAGTGATGATGAGAAGGTTACTCATTAGGGCTGCCAAGTAAATTGCTAGGAAGAGGATACCGTATAAAATCTGTAGCTCCTGGACATTAGAAAACCCCACAAGAAGGAATCCTGTCACCAAGGTGGCATTGGCCATACTCCATACTCACTTCTCTTCACAGTCTGTCAAGGTGAGGAGATACACACACACGAAAGAAAAAAAATTAATGTACCCAGTCTAACAAGAATCATACTGATATACAGAAACATTCAGTTGAAAAAGAGTCTTGTACTTACCTTAAATACTTATGCATTTACTTAAAAAATATTCTTTACTTTTTTTAAGATAAAGCAATTCCTTGAGTAATGTATGAAGTCAATTAGTCTCTGTAAGAGTTTCACCTGATCCTATAGGCTTAAACTTACCTCGTTAAAAGATAGATATAACTTGACTAAACACAGAAGTTTTCCTAATCCACTGGGCATTTGCATCAAACTATTATGGTGCCATGCTTCATGACAAGTCTTTTGCTTTCAGAAAAATAATGCAAAGTCCCACGTCTTTAGAGTGTGTTAGTATTCCTAATACTCTACATAGGTTCAAAATAACAATTCCTGTATGTCATTACACTCATGAACTCACACAGGCTTGTATTAAATAATCCAACATTGGCAAATAACTTTCTCTATTCCTGTGGTCATAGCAAGGTGATATAAACAAGGATTTGTTGTTCAGTGTTTGTATTATCTTGAGGTCATGAAATCCTAACATAGTAAATGCCTCATTTAGCAAAATATCATGTTCTTTGAATGCACACAATGTATACTAGAGCTACATTATCAAGAGGACTTCCTGGTCACTGATTTGTTTATAAAGGAATCTTGAGAGGGCACCCTGACAGAATACCTTTCCAATTCTGACTGATATTTTATATTTTATTTTGATCGTGTTATGTTGTCTATAATTCATTTTTTAATACAATCAAATATCTTCTTTCAGGGTTCAAAATATTTCCCTAGATTATCAATTACTAGTGCAGAGTTATTTATTTATTCTTTAACAGAAAGTGTTCCGTATGTATCAGACATCAAACTATATAGAAGAGATAAAAAAACAAAGATATGGGAGCTTTCTCTTATTGGGAGGAGGCAGACAATACAGAACAATGAATCAATAAACAATATAAACTGAAATGGTGACCAGTGTTAAGGCAACAAAAAAGTGTCATCTTAGAGATTAACCAGGTGAAAGGGTTTTCCCTGTGCATGAGCTGGAGGCTGACACCGAGATGAAAAGGAGTTTCCAGGACAAAGACCTGCAGAAAGGACACTTCAAGTGCAGCTCAAAAAATAAAGGCAGTGGACACGTGCGGAGAAGCTTTATGTGGTGAACTTGGAGCATGGGTGCTGGGGTGACGAAAGAATTCTTAAGACATTTATTAGCCTATTCCAATGACCAGTCTGGAGAAATACACAAAGAATAAAAAGAAAGAAGGGTAGAGAAATTGGCTATTAAATTTCATCATTTTTGATGTGGCTCTAAATTTCCTTAATGTCTACAAAACTTTAAAAATTTTGTTTTGAAACAGAGTATTCTAACATTTTACCAATAGAAATTTGAAATTCATACCTTAAAATGTGGACAATTTTCTTCACACCTGGACAAAGGATGATTTATCAGATATACTTAAGGAGATAATCCCAAATCCACATGATGGTGTAAATTTTTCTCCCAAAAGAAAAAATTTAATTTACCATTTGATGGCCTGAAATTAAAACAGAACATCTAGCTTCCTTTGTAAACTCTCACAACATACAGTTGTATCTCTAGGTTTCTGATAAAGGATGCAAAGATCTCTGCAAAGCTGTGGTAGTTTCTTCACATGGAAGGATGCATATTAAAACCAGGAAAGTCATTTGTCTTTCTTTTATTTCAAATCTGACTCCATTTGAAACCTTCTATATCCAAAGGGCCTACAACAAATTATTTTGTAAGGCACTTGGTTAATACCTGAGAATTCCCCACAGGAAAAAGTCTTAAATATATTCTGAATAACCTTATTAAGTAGTTATCTCTTAAGACCATTAGTGTTATAATTGTTGATTTTTGCTGTAGGCAGGAAACACCTGTTTCCCAATGTAGGTCCCAGAAAACATTCTGAAATATACTATGAGGGACATGACTCAGCCTTTTACCAGAATAATAATGAAATACTTAAGTATTGGTAACCAAATTGTGTAATAATCATTTGGGCATTTGGCTAAAAATAAAGACTACCATAAAGCATTCTTTATGACTCTCACTCAAAGGGTCTCTGGTGAAGTTAAAAAATGTGCATTTAATCAATCAACTTAGTGCACAACATACTTTGAGAAACTGTGCTATACAGCAGGAGTCATCTCAAATGAAAAGCAAAACAAATCTTACTGGTGATCTGTTAAAAATCCCTCATTACAGAGTAATAAAACTGAAGTCATTTTTAAAGATACAGCTGTAAGAATCTGGAAGTGATGAGTGTTTTTGTTTATGTGTTCATTTGTTTGTTTTAGCCTCCGATAGATCTTACCAGCATTAGCTAAACAACTTTTATCTAGGTCCTTCCAAAATAATTTTGCCTACTAGTAATATAGTTATCAAAATTCCATTTTTCTACTACACACTCCCAAGAAAATATTTTAGTTAATAAAGCTTGATCTCTCTTACATGGAGAGTTAATGATATGAATTGTAGTGTATTTCAGAATTAAATAAGATTATTAATATTTATACAATGCTGTTACTATGATTATCTATTAATATTCTTGAAATATTGGTATATTTTTTCATGAATATGATTCAACTGGAACCTTGCCAAAGAAAGAAATTTCAAAATAAAAATCAAGTAGGTAGTTTGTTTTAGGGAATACTGACTTTTAGCATGTAGGGCTCATAAGGTCTCGAACCTATGAATAAATTATGAGCATATTGATTTGATATTAAATATGACTTAAAATATAATTTTAAATTATTGCATACTCTATGTGGTTTTTTGTTATAATTTTATTTTGCTCTGATATACATTAGTTTTTATTTTTGAAATAAGTTCAAACTTACAGAGAAGTTATAAGAATATTATGAAACACTCTCAAATAACCTTTACCCTGATTCTCCATCTTGGAACACTTTGCCACAGCTCAGGCATCAGAGACAGGAAAATGAATATTGGTATTAATAATTGCATCTAATTTTGTCCCTACTCCTTTTTTTTTTCATTTGAATAAATAATTGTTCTTTATTTATAGCATTCCTCCCTTCCAGAACAAGAGGCAGTCTAGGATCAGGTAAGGTGCTTACTTGTCATGTTCCTTTAGTTTTTTATAACCTGAAACAGTTCTTCAGTCTTTTTGTCAATCATGACATTGATATTTTCGAAGACCATAGGATAGCTATTTAAGGAAATGTTCCTTCATTTGGGATTGTCTACTTTTTCCTCACAATTACCTTTAAGTTAGCATTCTTGGTCAGAACACTATATAAGGATCATAATCAAAGGTATATCAATATCGATCTATATTTTATTCAATGGATGAGCCATTACTATTTTTATTTATTTTTGTGCCAGTTGTGATTTCTGAGGACAGATGCTTGGATGGGATGCCACTGCAAAATTTTCCTGGAGTTAGATCATTTATTTATTAATTATAGTGATTTTATGTTTTGTTTTGTTTTTTTTTGAGACAGAGTCTCACTCTTTTGCCCGGGCTAGAGTGAGTGCCATGGCGTTGGCCTAGCTCACAGCAACCTCAAACTCCTGGGCTCAAGCGATCCTACTGCCTCAGCCTCCCGAGTAGCTGGGACTACAGGCATGCGCCACCATGCCCGGCTAATTTTTTTCTATACATTTTTAGTTAGTTGTCCAATTAATTTCTTTCTATTTTTAGTAGAGACGGGGTCTCGCTCTTGCTCAGGCTGGTTTCGAACTCCTGAGCTCAAAAAATCTGCCCGCCTCGGCCTCCCAGAGTGCTAGGATTACAGGCGTGAGCCACCACGCCCGGCCTAATTATAGTGATTTTAAATTATCTGTCTGATAATATCAACATCTGGGTCATATCTGAGTCTAGTTCTGATACTTATGTTGCCTCTTGAGATGGTGTCTGTCTTACTTTGTGGTCTTCTTTTTAAATTTTTTATTGCTCACTACACATCTTGTATTAGGCAATGGAAACTGAGGTAAATATTCCATTAGTGTGAAGATTTATGTTAATCCATGTAGGAGTTCATCTGTTTTATTATTTATAGCAGCTATAAGTCTCAGAGGCTTTAGATTCCTCTGACATCCTTGTTTCGGTCTCCCCTTTTGACTGTGAATTGCCTAATTACTGCCCTTCGGAGAAAATCTGTGCCTGCAACTCATTCCACTGTAACTCTCTGTTATTTTACTGAAGCCCTGTTGGTGTGGTGACAAGGTGTTGGGAGAAATGTTCTATAATCTTACTATTCATTCTCAGTCTTTTAGTTAGTGGTGTGTCTGTGCTGTGACTGTCACAGGAGTTCCCCTGTGGCATAGATTTTTCCCCCTTAGACGGGACAGGAATGCTAGAGAACACTAGACAGGAAGCGTGCCCTTCCCCCAGGTGGGATATGTTTCTAATAAAGTCTGTTGCCTGAAGAATAGACCTTTGCTATGGAGAAGGCCCCAGGCATATTTCGCCATGTTTTTTTTTCCAGTCCAGGAGGGATTCTCTCTTGGCTCTACTTTGGAGACTTCAGTAGGGTTCCTGGAGACAGAAAGCAGTGAATGTATGAGGGGCCCCTTGGACCGCAGCCCTTGGGACTTTCTCATTCTCACACTATCCTGACTGCGTTCAGGAGTTCGTTCAAACTTGTGACCCTGCCAGTTTATGATTTCAGTGGCTTCTGTTCCTACTTAGCAGATCGTAGCTGTGACTCTGTACTCACCTGTTTCTCCAGATTTAAGAATTAGTCTCCATTTTAACAGAGTAAAGATAAAAAATAAATATACACAGTTACCTCAGAATCAGAAAACAGATTTGGAAGATTCAAAACATATTTGGGCCAAAAATCCTCAGTAACCTGATATTGAAGGTAACTTCTTAAACTGATAAAAGGCATCTGGAAAAATCAAATAAGAACCCCACCCAAAACAAAAAAGAAACC